TCGTGCATGATTGCACACCTGAGGAGTGCGCGTGTGTTTGGGGGGGTGCCAAGGGATCCCGAGGGGTGCTCGGGTTTGACTCAAGATTTCAGTTGAATAACTGAATCGCGAGCGTGTCCTTTTGTGACGTGGCACAGAGAAACTTCGCGGGAAAGCAGCGCGCCTAACTGAACAGTTCGCATTACAGGTACAAAACGGAAATATCCGTTTTACAACTGTAAACAGTGGGAAAACGGGAATTCCCACACGAGCGTTCATGATTCTACTAGAATAATATTTGTGCGCTCATGATCGTTCGCGAGAGGAGTTAGCAGGGGCATTTGGCAGACATGCAATTTGAAGACAGTTATTTCAAGGACTCGGATCAAAGCCAAATGTAGCAGAAGTTTGGCAACCGTTTTGTCAGATTTATATGACATAGCTACTGTAGGCTATAGTGGGGTAGCACATATGGGGTACAGTTTTCCTAGGGTTTGCATTTGTACCCAACTTTCCCTTAGTCATTTCATTCCTCGTTTCTTATCATGGTATCGAGCAGGTTCCCTAGTGGGAACGATTCCTAGGGCCCACCACCACGAATTTTTTTTTTCCTGCCCGGAGCGCGCTTCGCTCCGGTCCGAGTCGCGCCCTGTGTGCTCTCCCTACCGTCGCGCCCTCGCTAGGCCCCTCACGGCCCCGTCGCGTCGCCCTTAGCGGCCCTCTCACGGCTCGTCGCGCCGCCCCTACGGCCCTTCGCGCCGCCCTTACGGCCCTTCGTGCCGCCCTTACGGCCCGTCGCGCCCGTCGCGCCGCCCTTACGGCCCCTCGTGCCGCCCCTTACGGCCCCTCGCGCCGTCCCTTACGGCCCCTCGCGCGGCCCCTTACGCCCCTTACGGCCCCTCCCGCGGCCCCTCACGGCCCCCTACGGCTCGTCGCCGCCCTCCGCGGCCCCGCCACCTACCTGTGCGGCCCCGCCACCTACCTGCGGCCCCGCCACCTACCAGCGGCCCCGCCACCTACCTTTGCGGCCCCGCCACCTACCTGCGGCCCCGCCACCTACCAGCGGCCCCGCCACCTACCTGCGGCCCCGCCACCTACTAGCGGCCCCGCCACCTACCTGCGGCCCCGCCACCTACCTCGCTTTTGACGCTGAGGGTCGGGCCATTGACTTTGACGTCTGGATAGATGACCTGCAGCTTTTCTTACAGTGCGACAGAGCAGACGGCCTCTCCCTCTTTGACCTCACTTCTGGTGCCTCTCCTGCCCCCGCTGCTGATGCTGACGCCACTGTTCGCTCACAGTGGGCCACGCGCGATGCTGCTGCACGTCTTGCTGTGCGTCGCCACCTGCCTACCTCTGAGCGTGCGCACTTTAGCCAGTACAAGAGTGCTCAGACCTTGTACGACGCTGTAGTTGCGCGCTACTCCTCCCCTGCCACTGCTGCACTGAGCCGCCTCATGCTACCGTACCTCTTCCCTGACCTTGCTGCCTTTCCCACAGTCGTTGACCTCATTACGCACCTCCGCACTAGTGACACTCGCTACCGCGCTGCGCTTCCTGCTGAGTTCTGCACCAAGAACCCCCCCCCCATGTACATCACCCTCTACTACATAGTCACCCGGCTCCCTGACTCCCTTCGCGTAGTCAGGGACCACTTCCTCTCAGTTTGCCCCACCACTCTCACCGTTGACCTCCTCGAGAAGTCCCTCCTAGCAGTAGAGAAGAGCATAGTAGCTGTAGGAGCCTCTCGTGGTGACCCTCGCACCCCCATCTTTGAGGGGTGTTCCCCCTCCCCCCTTTTGCCCTCTGTTGCCTCTGCTGCTGCGGCCGACCTCGTTGGGCTTGAGTCGGTCGGTGCGGCGTCTACCCCTAGCGGGAGACGCCGCCCTGGCAAGGGCAAGGGGGGCAGGGGCACTGGAGGAGCTAGCGGGGGCGGTGGAGGCGGCGGTGGAGGCAGTGGAGGGGGTGGGGGTGGCGGTGGGGGTGGTGGTGGGGGTGGAGGTGTCGGTGTCGGCGGTGGAGGCGGAGGCGGCGGCGGCGGTGGCGGTGGGAGCGGAGGTGGCGGCGGTGGAGGAGGCGGCGGCGGAGGAGGTGGAGCTGGTCGGGGTGGCGCTGCGCAGAGGGTCGGCTCCGGTGGTGGTCAGCGCCAGCAGCAGCAGCAGCAGCAGCAGCAGCGCACTCGTGACATCCCCCCCCCTCAGCAGCTCAGTGAGTGGTACGCTGCACGCCAGCGGGGTGGGGGTACTGGTCCGTGCACCTACGTCCTCCGCACCAGCGACCGCGCGGGTGACCAGTGCGGGGGTGCGCACTCCACCCAGCGCTGCTTTGGCCGCCTGACGGACGCTTGGCGTCACCAGTTCCCTGAGGCCACTGAGATCCCCCGCTGGGGTGAGCTGTCTAGGGCGGGTGTCGCTGTCTTTGACCTTGACTTTGATGCTATTCTTGCTGCCATGTATACTGTGACTATTAGTGATGAGGGTGACTGTTACCGGTGTTTTCCGCCCGACCCGGGCATTGAGACTGCTGCTCTAGGTACTGGTGAGGCTGCTGCTCTAGGTGCTAGCGAGGCTGCTGCTCTAGGTGCGTCTGCTCCCTCAGGTGCTGGTGAGTCTGCTCTCTCAGGTTCTGCGTCGGCTTCGGCCTCCCACACCTTCACCCTTGACTCGGGGGCTTCTCGCTCCTTCTTTCGAGACCGCACCACACTCACGCCGCTTGGCCGGCCAGTTGCAGTCTCTCTGGCAGACCCCTCTGGGGGTCCTGTCCTTGCTCACTTCTCCACTGTCCTCCTGTGTCCGGCGGCCCCCTCTGGCACCCTGTCTGGTCTTTACCTCCCCTCGTTCTCTACGAACTTGGTGAGTGGTGCTGACCTACAGGATGCGGGGGTTCACCAGTTCACTCCTGCGAGTCAGCGGGTGACCCACTGCACGGACGCTCGGACTGGCCGACACCTGGCCACGTTTACCTGTCGGCCGGGGTCGAGCCTGTACACCCTGACCACTGCGTCTCCTCCAGTCACTGCGTCTGGTCAGGTAGCTGCGTCGGGTCAGGTGTTTGCTGCAGCGTCCAGGTCTGGTCCTGAGTCTGCCCCCTGTTCGTGTCGCCTCCTGTCTCACGAGACTCTCCTCTGGCACCACCGCCTTGGTCACCCCTCCCTGCTTCGTCTCCGAGGCATGGCCTCCCGTGTCCTTGTCTCTGGTCTTCCCCGGTCCCTCCCTCCCCTTCCTCCGGGGCCTGGCCCTACCTGCGTCCCCTGTGTCGAGGGGCGGCAGCGGGCTGCCCCTCACTCCTCCCAGTTTCCTCCGACAGAGGCCCCGCTGCAGACGCTTCACATGGACGTGTGGGGCCCGGCCCGCGTCCGTGGACAGGGTCACGAGCGCTACTTCCTGCTGGTGGTTGACGACTACTCGCGTTACACCACAGTCTTCCCCTTGCGCAGCAAGGGTGATGTCACTGAGGTGTTGATCGACTGGATCCGCGCAGCTCGTCTCCAGCTCAGGCAGAGCTTCGGCTCGGACTTTCCTGTTCTGCGTCTGCACTCTGACAGAGGTGGAGAGTTCTCCTCTGGCCTTCTGCGAGCCTACTGTCGTGCACGAGGCATCCGCCAGACCTTCACGCTTCCGGACTCTCCACAGCAAAATGGGATTGCTGAGCGCCGCATTGGCATGGTCATGGACGTCGCCCGTACGTCCATGATGCATGCGGCTGCCCCCCATTTTCTGTGGCCGTTTGCGGTTCGGTACGCGGCGCATCAGATCAACCTTCAGCCCAGGGTCTCCATGCCGGAGACCTCCCCAGCCTTGCTGTGGACGGGGAAGGTTGGCGATGCGTCTGCGTTCCGTGTCTGGGGATCTCGGGCGTTTGTCCGCGACTTGTCTGCGGACAAGCTGTCCCCTCGTGCTGCTCCTTGCGTCTTCCTTGGCTTCCCCCTTGACGCGCCAGGGTGGCAGTTCTACCACCCCACCTCTCGACGTGTTCTGTCCTCCCAGGACGTCACGTTTGACGAGTCGGTCCCCTACTACCGCCTCTTCCCCTACCGCACTCCGTCCCTCCCCCCGCCACCGCTCTTCCTTGTACCAGGTCCCCCCCCGGTAGACCCCCTCCCCCCTCAGGGTCCTACCCCTTCAGGTGTGTCCCAGGTAGACGCAGTCGAGCCTGTCGAGGTTACTGGTGACTCTGGTGCTGCTGAGGGTGCTGAGCCTGGGGGTGCTGACTCTGGGGGTGCTGAGCGTGTGGGTGCTGAGCCTGGGGGTGCTGAGCCTGGGGGTGCTATGCCTGGGGGTGCTGAGCCTGGGGGTGCCACGCCTGGAGGTGCTGAGCTTGGGGGTGCGGAGCCTGAGGGAGCTGGGCCTGCTCGTGTGGCGTCTGGCGGTGCTGGGCCTGGAGGTTCTCCGGGTGCTTCGCCTCGACGGGAGCCACTCTCTCCACAGGAGCTGCGCGAGTGGTTTTCCCGGCGCTGGAGGCGTGCTGCTGGAGCTGGAGGTTCGTCGGCTGCTGAGGGTGCTGGTGCCGCGGGTCCCGGAGGTGCTCGTACTGGGAGTACTGGAGCTGCTGGGCCTGCGGGTACGACTGGAGCTGGAGCTGCTGAGGGTGTTGGCGCTGAGGCTACTGCTGTCGGTCCTGGAGGCGGTCCTACTGGGGGTGCTACTGGTGCTGCTGGAGGTACTGGAGCTGGAGGTGCTGCTGGCGCTGGTGCTGCCGCTGGGGGTACTGGTGCTGTCCCTGCTGTGTCTGGAGTCGCCGCGCGGCCTAGGCCGTACTTCGTTCCGCTCCTTCAGCAGGTTCTTGGTCTCCCGCCTTCTACTGGTGGTCCTCCTCCCTTAGAGTGTCCACAGCCTGTCCCGTCACAGTTACAGTTACAGCCGGCCTCCCCACTGCCCGCTCCTTCTCCCTACACTGGTCCTACTGGAGGTCTTGCTGAGCGTCGTGAGCCTGCGTCTCGCCCTGCGTCGCCTGTCCGTGCTGCTCGCACTCGTGGTCGTGGTTCGCGTCAGCGTCCTCCTCCTGTCCCTGGCACGCACCGGATGTCTCTGCGTCCGTCCACTGCTCCTCTGCGTGCCCCTTTGCCTTCTCCTCCTGAGTCCTCTCTTCCTGCTCTTCCTGACCCGGAGTCGGACTCTCTTCGTGCTGCCAGTCCTACTGTCACGCGTCTCCTTGCTACTGTTGTCACTGACCCTTCCTTTGAGTCCACTGCTGCGTCTGCCCTAGTTACTGAGCTCGTCGACTTTGCTGCTCGCTGTCGTCTAGACTACGCTGCTAGTCTTGTTGCTGAGTCTGAGTCTGTCTGTCCTCCGTCCGTCGGGGGTGAGTGTGCCCTTGGCACGGACGTCCTTGAGGACAGGCAGGAGGAGTTCCAGTGTTTGGCTGCTGCTTCACCTCATCTCGTGTCCGTACTGCTTACCCCTGAGGGAGACCCGGATGCACTTGACATCCCGACTCCGCGCTCTTACGCGGAGGCGATAGAGGGTCCCTACTCCTCTCAGTGGCAGGCAGCTATGGACGCAGAGATGGCTTCCTGGAAGTCCACAGGCACCTACGTTGACGAGGTTCCCCCGCCTGGGGCGAACATCGTCAGTGGCATGTGGATTTTCAGGGTGAAGCGGCCGCCGGGTTCTCCGCCTGTCTTCAAGGCGCGTTACGTGGCTCGTGGCTTCAGTCAGCGGCAGGGAGTTGACTACTTTCAGACCTTCTCTCCCACCCCGAAGATGACCACTCTTCGGGTACTGCTGCACATAGCTGCTCACCGCGACTACGAGCTGCACTCTCTTGACTTCAGCACTGCTTTCTTGCAGGGCAGCCTGCACGAGGAGATCTGGTTGCGTCGCCCACCTGGCTTCACTGGGTCTTTTCCTCCTGGCACCCAGTGGAGCCTCCGGCGGCCAGTCTACGGTCTCCGCCAGGCACCGCGTGAGTGGCACGACACACTGAGGACTACACTTGCGGCTCTTGGGTTTGCTCCCTCTACTGCCGACCCGTCGCTGTTTCTGCGCACCGACACTTCTTTGCCGCCGTTCTACATCCTCGTGTACGTCAACGACTTGGTCTTTGCCACAGCTGACACTGCTGGACTCGCCCACGTGAAGTCCGAGCTGCAGAAGAGACACACGTGCACAGACCTGGGTGAACTGCGCAGCTACCTTGGCTTGCAGATCACCCGGGACAGAGCACGCCGCACCATTACCTTGACTCAGTCACACATGGTGCAGCAGGTCCTTCAGCGCTTCGGCTTCACGTACTCCTCGCCTCAGGCCACTCCTCTGCCTACTCGCCACTCGCTCTCAGCTCTGCCTTCGGATGAGTCCGTAGAGTCGAGTGGCCCGTACCCAGAGCTTGTTGGCTGCCTCATGTACCTGATGACCTGCACACGACCTGACCTTGCATACCCTCTTAGCATTCTCGCACGCTATGTTGCTCCTGGGAGATACAGACCGGAGCACATGGCTGCAGCGAAGAGGGTGTTGCGCTACTTGTGCAGTACGTCGGGCATGGGGCTTGTGCTTGGAGGGCAGAGTCCAGTGGTCCTCACTGGGCACGCAGACGCTTCTTGGGCTGACGACCAGGCTACGCAGCGGTCGTCACAGGGTTACACCTTCAGCCTTGTGCCTACCTTGCCTCACTTGCTCACCCCTTGACCTTGTTTGTACTGTTGCATATATATATACACCTGCTCTTGCTTGTCTAGCCGTATATGTATATATGTAATCCTACATGTGAACTGGCCTTGTGGCCTTGAACTTGTGCTCGGAATGTGTGGTGACTTTGTGATCCACCCTGAGCTTGTTTTGCTTTGCTTGACTGGTCTTGTGACCCCTTGTTCTCCCCCACTTTGCCTATGGGGGTGTGTCAGATTTATATGACATAGCTACTGTAGGCTATAGTGGGGTAGCACATATGGGGTACAGTTTTCCTAGGGTTTGCATTTGTACCCAACTTTCCCTTAGTCATTTCATTCCTCGTTTCTTATCACGTTTTTCCAGACAGCAAGGCGAAGTCCTAGAAATGCAGTTAATCAACCGTTTGCTATTTTCCTTTGCAAGTGTGTTAGGCGAAATATATATGCATGCTTGTGCGAAGTTGTGATCAATCTTTTGGTGAATGAAAATTGCTCTATCGACGTATTGATGCGAGGAGCTATTCGGCACATGCACCGATCAATCGTTATCGCTTCCTCAAATGAGTTTGGGAACATTCTAGTGCACACGACTGCATTTACACATTGCGTGTCCCTCGGCAAACACGGACCCTTGGTTAGGGGCTGGCTTCGCCAGGCACCCGAGGACCCTTGGAGGTGACCCCGTGGGGACTAAATATTGTGCATTAAAGGTGTGATTAGAACCTATAGATCCCAAATAGTGGTCAACACTAGATACATAGTACAAGCTATTGGTCAAAAGAAACGGGAGTTAAAAACACATCGATGGCATCAAACTGTTGATTGTGACATGCTTGACTATCGTTTAACAGATTTGACCCGTTCTGCACACAGATGCTTGTATACATATCCAAATCAGGTGCAAATTATCTCAAAGCAGGGTAGTCCCACCTAGATACATATTACAAGCTATTGGTCAAAAGAAACGGGAGTAAAATGTCAGAAGTAGTAGTAGAAAGAAAGAATGAAGAAAGGAGGAGTTTCACTAGCAAGCAGTTGAGTACATATAGGAAACCCTAGATTGGGCTGTACTCGCTATAGAGTACCCCACTGCAGGCTAGACAAATACAACATTCTGACATAAAAAACACAATCATGGCATTAAACTGCTGATTATAACATGACTGGCTATCGCTTAACATATTTGACCCATTCTGCGCACGAACGATTGTTTACATATCCAAATCAGCTGCGACCGGTCTCAAAGCTGGGTAGCTCACTTAGACACACCGTAGAGGCTATTAGTTAAAAGAATCGGGAGTTGAAAATACAAGCGTGGCACCAAATTGCTGATAGCGACATGGCTGATTATCCTATAACATATTTGACCCGTACTACGCAATGAGCTAAAATTGCGTATATAGTTAAAACAACTGTTAAGAAGAATCAGGTAAGTTGCTCGTCTTTTGTGGGCAGCAATACGCCAATTTGCGCAACACCCAATCCATTTGGAGACGATGGCTGAGATTTGGATGGTATGTTCGTACCATGTTAATCGAAGTATAGTTAAATTAGCATTCGTAATGGATGTCAGAATACTAAGCGAGAATGAATGAACTAGAAACAAGGTGGGGTACAAGTACTAACCCTAATTGGGTTGTACCCCATATGGGCTACCCCACTACAGCCTACACAACACACAACATAAGAGTTTGACACACCCCCATAGGCAAAGTGGGGGAGAACAAGGGGTCACAAGACCAGTCAAGAAAAACAAAGCAAGCTCAGGGTGGATCACGAAGTCACCACACACTCTGAGCACAAGAAAATGGCCACAAGGCCAGTTCACATGCAGAGTTATATACTGGAGAACAAGCAGTACAGTGATCACAACCTAGCAAGTGTAAGCATGCAGGTATATATATATATATATAGATCACAGTACAAGCAAAGTCAAGAAGTGAGCAAGTGAGACCAAGTAGGCACAAGGCCTAAAACAGTAAAGAAACGCTGATGATCACAAGGCTGAAGTGCCTTGGTGAATATATCAGCAGTGTTGGCCCGAGAGGCCACGTAAGCAAGACGAAGCTGACCATGCTGCTGCAACTCTCGAGCAAGGAAGTAACGCAGAGCGATGTGCTTTGTCCTGTGCTCCAGTCTGTGCTCCTGACACGAGGCAATCATGGCCTTGTTGTTGACGTACAGAACTGGAGGAGAACGAGGCGGCTCTCCCAAGTCGGTCAGCAGGTAGGTGAGCCAGCGTAACTCCTGTGCAGCCATGGCCCCTGCGTAGATCTCAGCCTCACAACTAGAACTAAGAACAGAAGACAAGCGGGTAGACCGCCAAGAAACAGAGCCGGAGCCAAGGCTGAAAGTGTAACCCTGTGACGACCGCTGCGTAGCCAAGTCGTCAACCCAAGACGCGTCTGCGTGTCCAGTGAGGACAACTGGACCTCGCCCTCCAAGCACGAGCCCCATGCCCGACGTACTGCACAAGTAGCGCAACACCCTCTTAGTGGCCTCCCAGTGCTCTGGTCGGTGTCTCCCGGGCCCAACGTAGCGTGCCAGGATGCTAAGAGGGTAGGCAAGGTCAGGTCGAGTGTAGGCCATCAGGTACATGAGGCAGCCCACAAGCTCTGGATACGGGCCACTTGGCTCTACGGACTCGCCTGATGGTGGAGCTGAGAGCGAGTGACCGGTAGGCAGAGGAGTGGACTGTGGCGAGAGTACTGGAAGTCGAAGCGCTGAAGGACCTGCTGCACCATGTGTGACTGAGTCAAGGTAATGGTGCGCCGTGCTCTGTCCCGGGTGATCTGCAAGCCAAGATAGCTGCGCAGCTCACTCAGGTCTGTGCACGTGTGTCTCTTCTGCAGCTCCGATTCCACGCGGGCCAGTCCCTCAGTGTCAGCAGTGGCAAAGACCAAGTCGTCGACGTACACGAGGATGTAGAACGGCGGCATCGAGGTGTCGGTGCGTAGAAACAGCGACGGGTCAGCAGTGGAAGGAGCAAACCCAAGAGCCGCAAGCGTCGTCCTCAGTGTGTTGTGCCACTCGCGAGGCGCTTGGCGGAGACCGTAGACTGGCCGCCGGAGGCTCCACTGGGTACCTGCAGGAAAGGACCCAGTGAAGCCAGGTGGGCGGTGCAGCCAGATCTCCTCGTGCAGGCTGCCCTGTAGGAAAGTTGTGCTCAAGTCAAGAGAGTGAAGCTCGTAGTCACGCTGAGCGGCGACGTGCAGCAGAACCCGAAGAGTGGTCATCTTCGGGGTAGGGGAGAAGGTCTGGAAGAATTCAACTCCCTGTCGCTGACTGAAGCCTCGTGCAACGTAACGCGCCTTGAAGACAGGCGGAGAACCCGGTAGCCGCTTCACCCTGAAAATTCACATGCCACTGACGATGTTCGCCCCAGGTGGGGGAACCTCGTCGACGTAAGTGCCTGTGGACTTCCAGGATGCCATCTCTGCGTCCATGGCTGTCTGCCACTGAGAGGAGTAGGGACCCTCAATCGCCTCTGCGTAAGAGTGCGGGGTCGGGATGTCTGGTGCATTCGGGTCTCCCTCAGGTGCAATCAGAATGGACACGAGATGAGGTACAGCAGCTGCAAAACACTCAAAGTCCTCCTGCCTGTCCTCAAGGACGTCCGTGCCAAGAGCACACTCACCCCTGACGGACGGAGGACAGACAGACTCAGACTCAGCAACAAGACTAGCGGCGTAGTCGAGGGGACAGGCAGCAGCAAAGTCAACAAGCTCAGCAACTAGGGCACACGCAGCAGTGGACTCAAACGAAGGGTCAGGGACAGCAGTAGCTAGAAGACGTGTGACAGTAGGACTGGCAACACGAGCAAGGTCTGACGGTGGGTCAAGGACGTCAGGAAGAGAGGACGCAAGAGGAGACGGCAGAGGGACACGCAGTGGAACAGAGGAAGGACGAAGTGCCATCTGGTGCGTGCCGGGGACATGAGAAGGACGCTAACGCGGAACACGACGACCAGTGCGAACAGCGCGAACAGGCGACGCAGGACGAGACGCAGGCTCACGACACTCTGTAAGACCTCCTGTCTGCTCAGTGTAAGGAGAAGGAGCAGGCAGTGGGGAGGCTGGCTGTAATTGCGGCTGCGACTGGTCAGGTGGTGGACATAGGAGAGGTGGAGTAAGGTCAGTCGGGAGACCAAGAACCTGCTGAAGCAGTGGAACGAAGTACGGTCGCGGCCGCACCGTGCCTCCAGGACCAGCACCGACAGCACCAGCACCCCCAGGGCCAGCACCTCCAGCTCTAGGGTCTCCAGCTCCAGCGCCTGCAGTACCACCAGCTCCAGCAGCTCCAGTACCTCCAGTACGAGCACCTCCGGGACAAGCGGCTCCAGCACCTCCGCTACCTCCAGCTCTAGCGCCTCCAGCTCCAACGCCTGCAGCACCTCCAGCTCCAGCAGCTCCAGTACCTCCAGTACGAGCACCTCCGGGACCAGCGGCTCCAGCACCTCCAGCACCTCCAGGACCAGTAGCTCCAGCACCTCCGGTACCTCTAGCTCCAGCGCCTCCACCTCCAGGGTCTCCAGCTCCAGCGCCTGCAGTACCACCAGCTCCAGCAGCTCCAGCACCTCCAGCACGAGCACCTCCAGGACCAGCGGCTCCAGCACCTCCGGTACCTCCAGCTCCAGCGCCTCCAGCTCCAGTGCCTCCAGCTCCAGAGCCTCCAGCGGCAGGCCCCCCAGCTCCAGCAGTGCCACTCCGAAGGCTCCAGCGCCGAGCAAACCACTCGCGCAGCTGTGGTGGAGAGAGATGCACCCGCCATGACGAGGCACCCGTAGGACGACTAGCGGACTAAGTACCTACAGGCTCAGCACGCTCAGGCTCAGCACCCCCAGCTCCAGTACCTCCAGCTCCAGCGCCTCCAGTACCACCGGCTCCAGCAGCTCCAGTACCTCCAGTACGAGCACCTCCGGGACCAGCAGCTCCAGCACCTCCAGGACCAGCAGCTCCAGTGCCTCCAGCTCCAGGGCCTCCAGCGGCAGGGCCCCCAGCTCCAGCAGCGCCACTCTGA